AAATATGAAAAGAAAAAGAAAAGCGTTTTTCCGAATAACCGGTTACGTCCTGTGCTTTCCAGTTTCCAGGACGTACTAAAAGTGCCGGAAATGGGAATTTTGCTCCGCGTGTTTTATTTGTAACGAAAAAACAAATCTTTTACTAATAAATGCCGAAAAAATAACTGGCGGAGGGTCTCCTACAAGAAAATCACCTATTACAACACCCTAAGACAGACATATAGCTTTCATAGCTTGTATACCCCTTGGTTTTCCAGTTATTGCGCAAGTGATTTCATAACACCGTTGGTGTCTAACTCACAGAATCACGGACGCGCCACCTAGTCGAACCTAGTCTGCCTAGTGTTTCTGTTGCATGATAAAACTCGCACTTAGGAGTTTAGAACACAATAACATTACAATAACACTCGCTTGCTCAAGCTAAAACATATTAACCTTTAAATTTCCACTTGGCGCGCAAGTGATTTCATAATGCCGTGGTGTCTGATTCACAGAATCACGGGCGTGCCACCTAGTGTTTCTGTTGCTTTAAAAATTGCACTTAGGAGTTTAGATCACCATGGAATTACAATAACACTCGCTTACTCAAGCTAAGACATATTAACCTTTAAATTTCCACTTGGCGCGCAAGTGATTTCATAATGCCGTGGTGTCTGATTCACAGAATCACGGGCGTGCCACCTAGTGTTTCTGTTGCTTTAAAAATTGCACTTAGGAGTTTAGATCACCATGGAATTACAATAACACTCGCTTACTCAAGCTAAGACATATTAACCTTTAAATTTCCACTTGGCGCGCAAGTGATTTCATAATGCCGTGGTGTCTGATTCACAGAATCACGGGCGTGCCACCTAGTGTTTCTGTTGCTTTAAAAATTGCACTTAGGAGTTTAGATCACCATGGAATTACAATAACACTCGCTTACTCAAGCTAAGACATATTAACCTTTAAATTTCCACTTGGCGCGCAAGTGATTTCATAATGCCGTGGTGTCTGATTCACAGAATCACGGGCGTGCCACCTAGTGTTTCTGTTGCTTTAAAAATTGCACTTAGGAGTTTAGATCACCATGGAATTACAATAACACTCGCTTACTCAAGCTAAGACATATTAACCTTTAAATTTCCACTTGGCGCGCAAGTGATTTCATAATGCCGTGGTGTCTGATTCACAGATTCACGGGCGTGCCACCTAGTGTTTCTGTTGCTTTAAAAATTGCACTTAGGAGTTTAGATCACCATGGCATTACAATAACACTCGCTTACTCGAGCTAAAACATATCAGACATATTAACCATTAATTTTCTTCTTTGCGCAAGTGATTTCATAATACCGTGGTGCCTAACTCACAGAATCACGGTCGCGCCACCTTGTGTTTCTGTTGCTTTAAAAATTGCACTTAGGAGTTTAGAACACCATGGCATTACAATAACCCTCGCTTACTCAAGCTAAGACATATTAACCTTTAAATTTCCACTTGGTGCGCAAGTGATTTCATAATGCCGTTGTGTCTGATTCACAGAATCACGGGCGTGCCACCTAGTGTTTCTGTTGCTTTAAAAATTGCACTTAGGAGTTTAGATCACCATGGCATTTACAATACCACTCGCTTACTCGAGCTAAAACATATGAGACATATTAACCATTAATTTTCTTCTGTGCGCAAGTGATTTCATAATACCGTGGTGTCTAACTCACAGATTCACGGGCGTGCCACCTAGTGTTTCTGTTGCTTTAAAAATCCCACTTAAGAGTTTAGAACACCATGGCAATACAGTAACACTCGCTTACTCGAGCTAAGACATATCAGACATATTAACCCTCAATTTTCTTCTGTGCGCAAGTGATTTCATTTTCCTCCAATACATAGCTTATTCTTGACTGGATAACGAGTTAAATAGCGGCAGCGGCAGGACTTGGTAATTTTTGGCGGGCTTTGGGCACGTTTTCGCGGGATGACGATTTCACTATTCGACCGAATCCATTTGATCGCTTGGTCTTTGTGTTTTCTGCCTCTATTATGACATCTTTTGGAATTTAGGCCGAGTTACTGCTAACAATAGTATTTCCGCAAATCCGTCATTAAATAACGGAATTTTTTTTTACGTAGCCCGTTTGCACAGGCTTTACATCATTGACAGCAGATCATGCATAATAGTCACCAAACAAATGCAGTCGGATTAGAAGATCTAAGGTTTTCTACATCAAAATGCCTACCAGACTGCCGATGAATATCACCACTTACACGTTTATCGTAATATCGTTAGGCTCAGAAACATTTTCAAGGCATAGGAAGACCGTCTTCTTCTCCTAATGTCATCTAAACCTACCCAGACGCACACACCGTCCTTTACGATCATCTCAAGAATGCAATACTGGCTTTATTCGATCAGAGTTCAAATTACAATGTCACACTTCTTCCACATAAAGAAAAAGTTAATTATTATTTCATTGTTTTGGTTAAATTTTTAGCTATAGTGCGTTGAATGTACAAGATTCCATCAGAGAGAGAGGCCATAAAAGTACGAAAATGAACGCACCGGCGCGTGCGTGAAGCGATTCACTGCGGAAACTGCAGTTTAGCAAGCTCAGGCGAAAAAAATGGTTGAATCTGCACACACAAAGCCTCGGAGATCAATGATTACAATTTGTTTTGGCATCTATCTTTCCTTTACGATGAGTATTATGCCGTGTGAGTGTTCACGGACCGCGAGTTATACATAATCAACATTTTGAACCAAAGCTTTTATCTAGCAACATTCGTCCGATTCTATTTAAGTTCTGCGACCTTCAATACATTCAATACAATATGGACCTGCGCTACATTTTAATACTGGCAAAGACCAGAAAGACAACGCTTTAGTCGTAGGCTATGCGCGATTATTCTGGATACCGTATTTATTCGAATAAGCGCCCATCCTAAAGGCAGAAAAAGTTAATAAGCGCCCACCCTCGAATAAGCGCCCATCCCCTCCTCCTCCCAATCAAACTCAAATAAGCGCTCACCCCCACCCCACCCACTCGAGTGAATAAATACTAATAAGAGACTTGCCCGAGGACGCAGTTTTCTTCAGAGTATTTTACAGAAACCTTGCTTTGTTACTTGTTCGCGTTTTGTTATTAGCATTTATTGTTTTGTTGCAAAATAAACATACTTCACTGGCTAAAAATGGTGAAAATTTAATAAGCGCCCAGCCTCGAATAAGCGCCCACCTCGAATAAGCGCCCACTCTCAAGGTCCAAAAATTTAATAAGCGCCCAGGGCGGTTAATCGAATAAATACGGTAACTCATGAGCTGAGAACGCAAATCTCAGATATATGGTAAATTGAAATCTCTTCTCTAATTACTCTATCGCCAGATGCCGCCTTAATCTTGTTAAAAAATGTAACCACTGATGGTTGGATCAAACGGTGAAGAAACTAATTGCTTTTCGCAGTGAGAGGTTTATTGCTTGTCACTCAAAACCTAGCATCCTTAACAACGCCGGCGTCATGTGGTGTGCAAAAGAAAGTCGTATACAGGTCCTCATGTTACGTCACTTTAGTTTGGGAAACAGGAAGTAGTTAACGCCAACAAAACTATGGGAAAGTATCACCGTCTTGGGGTCTTTTTTATCGCAGCCTTAAGTGCGTATGTTATTTTTAACTTGCGAATATACGACCTATTACTCAATCAGAAAGGATCGCCTCGGCCCTCCACAACCAATAGGGGATCATCAGAAGCGGTTGATGAAGTGTTTCTCCAAGATGGTGATACATTTTTAAGCTACGTACATCCGTATAATTCTTCTATTGTTGGAAAAATGAAGTTTAAACTCAAAAGGAAAGCTTTGGAAACAGGTAAAGAGTTGATTGAGGATCTTGTACGTGAGTATAAACGAAAACCAGTTGAAATGGAGTCCGTGGACGTTCTGCCCAAGCTGATTCCTGTCTCAGCGATTTCAAGCAATTATTTTAAAGAACTAATGGCACATGTAACTCCAGCTGAAAATATCCTGCCTCATCGAAAAATGATCGTGTATGACTTGGGGCTAAGTCAACAAGAAATCGACCACCTGAAGAGAATATCACACATAGAATATAGAAAATTTAACTTCTCTAGATTCCCCGAATATGTCAAAGATCTGCATACGTATGCATTTAAACCGCTCATTATCACGGAAATGCTTGCCCAGTTTGGCGGAGTGTTGTGGATGGATGCCTCAGTCATCTTCGTTAGAAACTACTCATACGAATTCCTTTTGCAACGAATGGTTCATCAGAGGTCAGGATTTTTATTCTACCTTTCTGAGGCTCGTAAGCCTCACTCCATTTTATTTGCTACCCACAAACACATGTTCGACTACTTGCCAATGAAGGGAGAAAAGGAGAAGAAAGCGAACATGCCTCAAGCTACTGGTATGATATTATTCAACACGAAATACGTGATAAAACATGTGATGAAATGGGTCATATTATGCAGTCTGATAGAGGACTGTATTGCACCCAAAGACGCTCGGCTAAAATGCGATTTTTCTTCCCCTGATAGATATAATAGGTTTGGAGGATGCCATCGGTACGACGAATCTCTGTTTTCAATCGTTGTTTCAAACGCTTACAGTGATCAACCGCACATGTATCGCTTGAATTCTGGGGAGTATCCTGCTCGCGTACGAAAAAGGGTGTAAAATTTGGTCGGGTGAAGTCTCATAGTACAAAAATGATCATAACGAAGAGGAAAGGAAAATTTATGAAAGGACAGTAGCACTTTTGATTGTTCTGGTTTTTTTTTTTTGTAAGCATTCATGTTGAAAAGTTTGAAAGGCACTTTACAACGTAAGATCCAGTTTAGGTTCCATAACGTACAATGGGGAGAGTAGAGTTTAATGCCAACACTCCTGAGGAATGTTTTTCAAGCCGCATCCTCGGAGGAGGGCTTTGTAGTGGAGATAAGATGTTAATATCCTCGACATAAGTAAACTAAAAAGGTTTTTGAATGGATTTCAATGCTTCTTTTATTTACCCCTTTGTTGTTTATTACTTGACACACTGTCTAAACTACTCTTTTCGTAACCGAGGTTCATCATTTTATGCTGCCTTCACGCACTGCTTTATTGGGATTTTTATTCCAAACGGTAGTGTGATTGTTGTAGTCACTTTGCAGGCCAGTCCGTTGCCGCAGCCACACTTGTGTTTGTCCTGTTTTAAAGAAAACATATACCCTTTTGGCTCTTGAAACATTTTCTAATACATTTAAACCTCTTTACATGGATTCAGACGAAAAGGTCAGTTAAACATCTAGAGATCTGTGGTATATAGGTATATTGAATCCGTTCTTAGGCTACCTCTTCCGCTATTAACCTACGATTTTAAACAGAATGACGTGAAAAAGGAAACCCCGCATTCCCCGAAATCAAGGATGAAGCTGGTCTCCCTTGCAGCCATTTTTGTTTCGTCACACAATGGGGCGGAGCTTTGCGGAAGGAGACAAAAACGGCTGCAAGGGAGACTAGGATGAAGCCGCCTAAAACTCCACTTAAAACGCCTTCCGATCCCTGTCTTAAGTTGGGGAGGGGTTAATTGCTGGTATATTTTTTCCAACCTACTCTATTCCTAACCTAGTGTCAACATTTCGCAGTTGAATATATTGGGTCACTGAGAACAAGCACTGTTACTAGCAGTGAATCGAGGTTGTCTGTCTTGTTAGAAAGCATTTAACTAAATAACCTGAAAAAACCAGCCGACACATCGCCAGTTCGCCACGCCACCTGGTTTTCCCGCAAAATGACGTCTGAGAAACGGCTGCCGAAATTCCATACTGATCCAGATCTTGGTATTGCTTCAACCAATCAGAAGCACTGCACAGGTCTGGGTAGTGACAAGTCATCAGTATGGATCCGAATTTCTGCAGTCGTTTCTCAAACGTCACTTCGTAAGGAAACTAACAGTGGCGTCGCGAAATGTGGACTGTTTTCTCATGCCATCATTTAAACCTATCGCTAACTTTTAACTTTAAGGGTATTTCTTAAAACCCGCTCCAGCAAGGCTTTTCCCATAGGTTTTGTCCCTCCCACATTGAGAGTATCAATGCTGTCGCCAACACTCAGTCAGGGCTGTCACTCTCATTGCACGAAATTGACATCAAATTAAGAGCAACGTTGTTATTAACACAGCAAAAAACTGAGATGATTACCAGCAGTTATAAAACGCCATAGATATTTGAGCTAAAGTTGTCATTGTATAACACAAGGCTGTTACTAACATTAAATTACAAAATCAAAGCGCCATGGAAAGCTTAACCGCTACTGATACCAGAGTTATTACCAGCTTTATATACCGTACACTGTTAAGTTATTTGTCTAACACAAAATAAAGGCTTTCTTGATTTACTTACCACGAAGTAGCAAGTAAAGTACTCCCTGAGTTTTGGGGCACATCTCTTTCCCAATGCACAGCAGAAATTTGATTGACACTCCGATTCGGAGGAACAACTCTGTTAATACAATATCAAAGCTTTGCATTTAGATGTAGAGGTAGAAGATAAAGGCTAACTACAGTATCTTTGTGTGAGGAAACTTCACCTCTCTCCTCCGCAAAGGCTACCGCAGGGTATCCCCATGAAAATAGCAATAATCGAAAAATAGAAAGCGCCCGGTTACTTTTATACACTTGTACGCGTAGTATTTTCAATTCTTATCTCGGTGTTTAAAATCTAATAGAACACCATGACTCGTGTTTGGCAATTAAATTCTCAATATTCGAGAAACGTTGAAAATCAAAACAAATGGGAAAATGTGATAAAAATCCTTACGTTAAACAGAAAGCGCTTGACTCTGGACACATTATCAGATTGGTTATCCAAGTCCACGGTCTCCACATCAATGTCCACGCCTTCCGGCATGCATTGCTTGACGGGGTAGACGGTTCCACTTACGATCAGCCTCTTGGTCAGAACACATTTCAGTCCAGCCTGGCAGTCTCCCTTTTGAGTGGGTATGAAAGAAAACGAAAAAGAACTTCACATTTAATGAATGTCTCGTAAAAGACGAAAAACATGGCTAGATTATACGTCCTATTCATTAGTAAATCAAAAGTCAAAATGTTCGAAGACTTCAAGTAATAGGCGACGATCTTGTGTGTTGCAAACTCAGTGTTACGCCATCACCTATTTTCTTACATTTTTGACGCATATTTGCGGCTTTGGTTTTCATAACAGGAGGCACGGGTTTTTAGTCCGTCGTCTACCCTTTTCTTAACGAACTGATACATCAATTAGCTTTGCTGGGTACGTTAAAAAAACGTAGAGTAGTGGGGTACGGAAAATACTTTTATGAGAGAGTTTCCTTAACAATAATGCTATTAAGCTAAACATATGGCTGGTTATGCCTTTAACTGTTCACTGTAGCTACAGCCCCAGACATAAAACGTTATTGTTATAGATGTGAATCAAAAACCATATCCCGGCGTATCCAAATATTAATTTGTCCAAATAAGCAAGGCGCGTTCTTCTTTCTGACTGATTATTTTCTATTACGAGCTCATCAGAATTGAAAATATAACAAAACATTTTACTGAGCATTCTTGTAAACTGAGACAAATACAGCGTGTCTCATGAATTGGAAAGAAACCAGTATGAATGTAAATAGTGAGTGAATCGGTCAAAAGTATGTGATTATGATGAATTGTACCTCCATTTTACACTCCGCAAGCTCTGGGAGATTTGAACTTCCCTGGAAGACAAAAAAATGCAAACATGCATTTAAGTTAGTTTGGGGTTAAAACGCTAAGACATCTTCTACGCATAGGCAGAAAAAGGATATTTATAGCGCAAAAAGAATGTGTTTGAAAATGGTTCAGGAAGTTTGCTCATTTGCGACCTTGTTCCAGACAAAAATGTTATTTGACACCTATCAAGACAAATTAAAAATTACGTTTAACAACTTCATCTATAAGGAAAAACTGGCGGTTTATAAAGAGGACTAGTGCATTTTGCTAGTTTAATATGGCAGCCTTTGATCTTAAGCTTCTCGTTAAAGGTTATTGTAAAACTTACCAAAGCAAAAGAAATGCAAAGACTGAGAAAGATGACAATCATCATGACTTCTTCAACTTCAACAGAGAGCTCTGGAACAATATTTTTTCCGCGCTATCTCACTGATTTTTGTTCTTAGAGCTGCTTTCCGATTTTTATACAGATTTGTAAAGGAGAATTAAAGTGCCAGCTGTTGGACCAGTGAACACCACCTAAAAAATACAGAGTATTGTCAAATAATTTGTTCAAACAAATTTCGTGTCTGCAAAAAATGTGTTTAATCAACTGTTTCTTCTCAGTACACGTGGAGTTAATCTACAATCTCGGAAAAAAGCGGTGAAGAAGGTTGTACAACTTAACGCCAGTTCATTTTAAGGTTCATAAAAGATGGTTTTCCATTTTGCTAAATACTGTGACTCTTTTTTGGCCTATTGAAAATTGGGATATATCAGAACAATTACGCGCTCAAACATTTTGGTTTTGTTCACTATTAGACAAGGGGGCAGGGGACGGGTGAAAAAATTAAAAAACAGGTAAAAAGAAGTGGCTCTCTTAGCACTTTTCACGATGATTGTAGGCCATTTTCGTCCCCTCTCCATCCGCGTGCTCCCCACGCAAGCTTAAGTGGATCTTATGCCGTACTACTTACAACGTTCCTTAGTTGAACATTCTCTTAAATTAAAAGCTTAAAAAGACGTTTAAAAGATTGTGATCTACGTGTAGCAAACCATCGTTAGCACAGCCGCCTTGGGAACATTTAGTAATCCAACCTCGTTCCCAGGTACAGGTAGGAGAGAAACCTGGGAACCAGGTTGTTCGTAATCATCAAACGATATTGTTAGCTTTTGGAAAATATTTTGAAATTCTTCTTGTGTTAACTAAGCATCTGTATCTATCTCCTCTAAGTCGTGGCGATTTTAAAGCTGGTTGAATTATCACTTTTTTCACACCATGCAATTGTGTTTATTACAAATTAAAACAGCTGAAATTGAATGCCCTATTGCTGAAGGGTCAATGTTTATAGGGCCCTCATTGATAGCAGCATATTATGCCGAAGAGATAACCCTGGCTAAATAACATTTATTATTATTATTATTATTATTATTATTATTTTTATTTATTATTATTATTATTTATAAGTCTGATTAACAATTCTCATTTGCAAGGGGGTAGTCGAACGCGAACTACAGCTGGAATTACGTACGTGTATATCAAATTCTCTACTTTACAAAGTGATTGTGTATAGAGATGAAACGTCTAATGAAGACGAGGTTGTTTTAAGAAACGAAACTTTTTTTCTACGTAACCACTTAAAAAGAAAGTTATTAACATTAAAGAAGTCGTCCTGAATTTGTTTATGGAACTGGCCAAAGCTGACCAAATACAATTTTACACATGAAAATGGTTTTTGGAAGTGATCTTATGAATTACCTCAGTAAATAGCTGTATTTCATTTTGTTAGCATAGGTAGACAATGCGCCTGTTTAAATTTCAAGTCAAGGACAGGGGTGTACACTTAGCAAATAAAAACATCACAACAACATCATTACTTGTAAAAACAACCATTACCGATATTCTTAAACCTGCATGAATAGGCCTCCCCCCTCGTTCCACAGTGTAAAGGACCATTCCATTTAGAAAATAATAATCTTAGCTCAAAAGAATTTTTCAAAATCATTCTTTTTGTTTGTTGGCGGCCGTGAATTAATAGGGAGCTTAAGGTAATTTAACACGGGACGATTCGCAACGACGATATTTTGCGCAACAAAGCGTTGCAATGTTGGAACAATGTTGCAGCCATTTAAAAGAATGTTGCAACAATTAATGTCGCAACGCTGTGTTGTGCTAAAAATCGTTGTTGCGAATCGTCCCGTGTAACATCACCTTCAAGCAACGACGACGGGAACGGCTACAAAAGCGTTACTTAAAAAGTAATGTCGCCCTGCTTCAAAATTTATCGCACTTATTCCACTTCGTTCAATTCTTCAAATGTTGGCATTTTTTCTGGAGTTGAATTCTCAAAGGCTGGAATAAAAGTTCAGGAAAAGAAAAAAGAAACTGTTGCCTTTTGTTCACGTCATCCGTGAAAAAACGTGAAATTTAACATTTTCATGTCGTAGTCAGGCAATGACGGCAAAGAAATGTACAAAAAAGTGTGATTCAGACGCAAAGTTGTTGTTTTGCCAATCTAAAGCCATTGCTTTAATTTTTTTACCGTTTTCGTTGACGTCGCTGTCGTCGTTGCTTAAGCTCCCTATAATTGATAAGCTAGAGGAACGATTACAGACTTTGACCCCTTCACAGCGTATTGAAGTTCGATAAAAATGCAGGTTTTTTGTCGAAAAAAGAGACGTCAAACTTAAGATGACCCTTCCGCCAGTAACAGTTGAACAAACAGCTATTTTCTTCGGTTTGGATAAACTGCTTTTAAGTCCTTGCGGTGATCAATCTTCCTGTAACAAGAAGCACTAAGCCTTGTTCACCGAATAATATCAAAACAGCTGAGAAATCGTACTCACTACTATAAAATCCCTGGAGTGAATGCAGGAGATCCACTCACCTATTATAAGAAGTTCAGGTAAATAAGATCAGTCTCGCTTAGTCGTTCGAAATGAAGATCTTTGTTTTCTTGCGTATTTGTGTCACTCTATCTCTGGTAAGATTAGTTTTTCTTAACTTTACTTAACATAGCTTCTTGTGAAGTATATCCATTGAATACTATCTTTTTCAAACGAGAGCAAGGACTTTAAGATAAGCTCTTACACCTGGCAACATATGCGCAAGTATGAGCTAATACTTTCTGTAGAAACAGAGGAACAACCGCGTCACTGCGTTGTACTTATGTTTAACAAAAAAATGTTCATCTGCCAGTATTAGTTAAAATGTTCATCTGCCAGCATTAGTTAAGGAAAAAGTAACTCGGAATTTTTCTTAGATTACAGCCTCTATTTAAGTTTGTTTCTCACATTCAAAGTCCTAGTCTTGTAAGCTTGTTCACGAAGCTAGTTAACTGAGCCAAGAATAAATTTCCTGATTTGCATTTTGGTCGATCTTAATCTATTGTGGATGGTAAAACTTTTTCGAAAATTCCTTATGCATGAGTCTTGCGATCGACTTGCTCTTTGTAACAAGCTAACAACAAAATTTGATCGTTTTGTTTCTCTTATAATCAGGAATGCTCAAATCTGGCCAAGTTTGAATCTTGCAACAAACCGGTGAGTACTAGCATCATTGTATTTTTATTGAGTTGAAGGAAAGTGGACAACTCCATTGTCTCCATACATTACTTTTAAGGAAATATCGCAAGAAACTCCAACCCCTGCGTAATATATTAATTAATCGATACATTTCGGCAGTCCTTTTGATTTTGGACTGAATTAGACACTCTCTAGTCTGACTCTAGTCGTATCAATAGCGTCTGATTTCTTCTTGCTCCTGATTTCTTAATACTCAATAAATCTAAACTTTATGTTATTTCTAAATCTGATTCTGATTCTGATTTCGAATTTTCTTTTTCTGATTTTCTATCGAGTTCTCATTTCTGATATTTTAATTCTCATTTCTCATTTCATTTTATTAATATATATTTCTTAATTTCCAACCTCTCCATTCTAAATTTTTATGGGCAAAGAAAGTCGAGATCCACTGGCAAACGGTTAATTCTTGTTCATTATTTTTTCTAGGAGGGAGATTGTAGCTGTGCAGCTGGACTGGCTTGTAGGCTGACCAAAAAATTCATTTACCAGGGGAAAACAATTGCTGTTAAACAATGCATGCCACCAGGTGAAGCGATTGAAGTGGAAACCGTCGACCTGAGTGATCCTTCAGCTGATACTCCAAGAAACAAACGGTGGCTCGGTAGCAGTATTTTCGATGCAATGATTGATCAAATTCTACTATCACTATTAATTTTCTTCGACTGCTTAACAGGCATAGGCGGACTTTGTGTGTTATTCGTTTGTGATTCGTAAAGTAAGGGATGCCGCTCGAAAGCTGGGCCGAGGTCAAACGAGAAAACGATGGGGGAAGGGGTGAGCCTTCTATTTCTTGCCCCCTTCCACATTGTTTCTCTTTTGACCTACTAATTAACGAAAGAAGAACGAAAAACACACCAAAACTCTACTGTTACGCAAGCTATGTCAAGCAAATCATATGCGGCCAATTTCCAAGAGGCGACTTAATAGAGAAGAGAAGTCGTTACGTCACGTTGCCATGGTAGCAAAATTTCAGGATAACAACAAACCGAAAACGTCACTTAAAAAGTGAATTCGCGCTGTTTCAAACTTCATTTTATTCAATTTCATTTAAATTGTCAAATGCTTGCGAAATTTCCGGGTTGAATCCCAAACGATGGTATCTAAGTTTACAAAAAAGAAAAAAAAAATTTTTGTGTTGCGTTCACCGACTCCATAAAGCGGGCGCGTGAAATTAGGAGGTTTCAGGTCGCAGTCGTGCAACGAAGGCTAAGAAATGTTCAAAAAAAGCGTCGGATGTAGGTACAAACTTGTCGTTTAACTAATCTAAACCTATTGCTTTTTTGTCATTCTCGTTGCTGTCACCATCGTCGTTGCATTAAAAACTCCCCTTTGTTGTCATCCAAAAATTTTGCTACCATGATAACGTTACGTCACACCTCTCCTCTCTGTTCTCTCTTATGACAGTACTGATACATTCAATTTCTTTAATTAACTTTCAAAACCTGCTTAAAACGAACCCCGAGATAACAAATCACAAGCATTTTCTTTTGAAGCTAAAAAAGAACCTGTGGTAAAAATCATCTGACATACGTGTATTCGCGTATTTTGCGCAAGGGCAAAATAATTTAGATTAATTTACTCAGTCTTTTGTCTTAAATTGTCTCTCTTGAGAGCCATGATGTTTGGACACAAATTCTCCCAGAGTTATGTATTACATCAATAATAGATAGTTTCTTCGTGTACCTGTCCCTACCCCCTTTAAGATTAGAGATGGCAATTACGATAACAGGTCGTGGGCATAGCAATTTTGTCCCGTTGACATTTTACTCTTGTTTTGTTCCAGAGATGCTTTGACGAAACAGATTGTGGACAGAACTTCTGTTGTGCACTCAACAAGCGGTGTTTACCGAAAATCCCTAAATATTTCACTTGCATGTTGTCGGTTAGTATTACAAATTAAAGTCATGGTATAATTATGAGTATGCAAATTGAAAATACTTTGAAAAAAGATCCAAATCTTTTTCTTATTATTATTTACAAGAAAGTGAGAAAATTAAGGGTTTAGGGTCTGCGAATCTTTTAAATTAATAAAAAAAAAATTAAGAAAGAATCCACAAGGAAATTGAGTAATTTTAATTTTGAGTGGACAAAAACCTTGAACCAGAATAATTTAAAGCATATTAGATTCTTCTTTTCTTACATTTTTCAAGGGCTATAGATGTAATTAACTACCTGTAATAACACCAAAGAATATTCTCAAAGGATCCCTAGAAAATAATTGTCAAGTTTCACAGCAATTGTGGGCAAGTAAATTGTAAAATTTTTATTGTTTAAGATCGATGTCATTTTGTGAAATTCGACAATTCTTTTCTTGGGCTTCCATGAGAAATTTTCTTTGGTGTTATTGCAGATAGTTGTATCTATCGCTTGAAAAATGTAAAAAAGAATGCAGTATGCTTTAAATTATTCTGGTACAAGGTTTTTGTCCACTGAAAATTAAAATTACTCAATTTCCTGATGGATTCTGTGTTAAAAGAACAATTGCTTGTAAGTATTACCTAGAACATGACGTCATGTCCACCTTTTTGGATAGTTTCCGAAACAATAAAACGGCAGCCATAATGGTGTCCCAAACCAATCCTGTGGGAGTTGAACTTATTTCTTATGTAAAAGCCACCTGGGATGTAGTAGGAAAGTTTCATAATTGATGGCTTCGGTTATTATTTTGTTTCTTTAAATGCCAGAACCTTCACAAGTGCGGCTGTCGCGATGGACTGGAATGCAGACAAACATCCAGTGTTACAGTCCCTATAATAGGAACAGTTATTTCTGTTAGACAGTGTATGGAGCCTGAATTTTAAACATGAGGCTTGAAACACAGTTACAGCCACCCAAGAAGAGTGCTTATCTTTAGAAGAGACAAAAAGCTGTAACAAGAGAGATCACAATAAAAAGAGTCTTTAAAAACCCTCAGCAAATGCTGTTTACTCTCGGTTGTTGTCTGGTTCTTTATTTCAATGCTGTTTCTTTGCAGTTATTAGATATATTAAGATTCACGTTTACACCAAACGGCAAACGTGAATTTGTACCACGTGACCAGGTTTTCCCCTCAATTGTCGTTTACTGTTTATTACTTCCTCACAAAAATAAGTAGCTTCACGCCTTTTTTATCCACAAGAATTGTTCTCGACAGTTTTTATTTGCTTATTTTCTATTCTTAGAAATTCTCAAAATTCTCTGAAGTTTCCCGTTTGTCGTAAACGTGACTATTAATCTCTATATTTCCAAAACGTTTCTTCTGACCGGAACTATTATTCGTTGATGTTTATACATTTCGGCACGAATGTTTTATCAATGAACACATTTTCCCTAAACTCGTCCGAGGGCCGTTATTTCTGAGCACCACGTTTCGCACGGTCATTCTTGATCGTTTACCATCAAACATGCACTTTATCCAACAGATAAAACATTCGAAGAGAAACGGCTCTGACATCTGTACTTTCGTTTTCCCATCGGCTTACACCTCTGTATATGCGAAACAAACCTATAACATGTAATGGTCCATCTCTTTCATTGAGTGTGAGCGGAGAAAAGTCCGGTTGAAGATAAGGGGCTTCGAAAAAAGAGAGCTAAAAACTAAAAACATATTTTTTGGTTCTCTGTGATACAAACCAGCCGCGGGTCAAGATCTTTCACCTTTGGCAGTTTTCAAACTTGTGCGAAAAACGTCAGTTAACTGGAAAACATTTTGCAGTGTTGTTGCGTAAAACAGCTGTATAAACTTTATTTTGGTTGAGGTTAACATTGATTTGTTCTTTTAATTCGCTGTGCTGCTAAACACGTCAATTAATTGGTAGAAATTAGGGGTAATCTATTTCATCCGATACCTGACTCAAAGAGCTGCTAAGTTGGACTGTACTCTTTAACCGAAGTTCTAGATCCAGTTATTTTTATAAGTAAGATCAGCGGAACCTTAGACACGAGGGAGTCAATACATCAAGTTCATTCAATTTTGTTCTAACCGGTTTATGCTGTTCCTCAAATTAAAGCTAAAATATGGGCTTGATCATTATCACGAATAAATAAAGGCCTAATTTCAGTCGCTATACAATTGAACCTCGGTGATATAACGAACCTCTCTATAACGAAGACCTCGGTATAACGAACGATTTTCTTAAATTTTCTTAAATGTAAAATATATGAAAAAGAACCTCGATATAACGAAACCTCGATAAAGCGAACAAATTTTGCCCGCAGTCCCTTGGTCCTTCGTTATATCGAGTTTCACTGAAGTGCGAAATCATGAATAGCTAACCATTGATCATCCATCAGAATAAATAGACTTTTTTCGTCTTATTGAAAGCTGCAAGGATGCCTTGCTTCACTGTATGGATCGTGCTCCGCTTGAAGTCTGATTTCTTCACTTTAGAGGGTATCGTTTGTATTAGGACTCCTACATAAGTGAAAAGATCGTACTTTAATTGCTGTACCCACAATTCGTCATCAGATGACAACCTCGTTTCCAGGGTTCTTGGGAACGAGGTTGAACAGTGAACAACAGAAGCAATTTTAGGTGTATGCAGTGCCCTTGTTTCCATAGGCAGTTATCATAAGCAAACACACAACACAAGCCTTTTATTACTCTGGATTTTTCACTATGATGCGAACCCAGGACAATAACCATTAATAATGACTGCTTTAATTACTTCAAAGAGACAAGGACAGTTGTGAAAACATCATCTTAATTAAGAATTTTGCAGGAATTAAATCGGATGTTATATAAAGACAGGCAGATGAAGTAGCAAGATATCTTGTTGTAAGTATCTCACTCCACTTTGGTTTGCAGAGTCGCCGGATTATTTCGTTTCAAAGCGTTGAGATTATGAAGACGTTTGTTATTATTAGTGTCTGTATAACGCTTTCTTTGGTACGTACTAAAAGATATGATAATTTTTTATCAGTCTTAATACGGGTTCTTAATCATACCATACACACCCGGCACACTATTCATAATTTCGTCAATTTTCTGTATTTCTTCCAGGCATGTTCTGACCTTCCCAAGCTTGCAAATTGTGGCGAATCGGTAAGTAAAGTGATCTTAAAACGACGCGTAACTCTTCGTTAAACCATCATTTCCGATATTTTGTAGCCATGGAAATCTAAAGGAAAGGATTTTATGGGGAATAGGGTCATTCAAGCAACTTCAAACAGAGTTTCAAATAGATAAGAATCAGTAGGCAGCATTTCAAAAAGAAAACAGCTTTAAACATGGTTTAGATTTCATTTCGATGAGACACCGTATAGTTTCATAACCGAACCCTTTTTTCAGTAACGAAAAAACAATAACGAACAAAAACAAACAATCCACAATACATAGTTAACATTAAAAATTGAAACAAACAGGCGACAGAGTATCATGAGGAGTGTTGAGGAATCATGTACTCAGTGCTTTGGTATTCATGCGAAATTAGGGAGTTTTTAAACACATGCAATGAATTAACCTCATAAAAACTAGAAGGTCAGAAGAGTCAGGTGTAAAACTAGATTTCGAGACTGAGAATATTGAATTTCAACGAAAAGAAACACTTTCGATTTGTCAAAGGAGTTCAGTCCTACTTTGCTAACATTTTTTGGCGTTGCCATTTTAAGGAGGGGGTCTGTAACTGTCAAGCTGGACTAGTGTGTACGGTAACCAAACAATTTTCATAATTGATGGCTTCGGTTATTATTTTGTTTCTTTAAATGCCAGAACCTTCACAAGTGCGGCTGTCGCGATGGACTGGAATGCAGACAAACATCCAGTGTTACAGTCCCTATAATAGGAACAGTTATCCCTGTTAGACAGTGTATGGAGCCTGAATTTTAAACATGAGGCTTGAAACATAGGTACAGCCACCTAAGAGGGGTGCTAAGCTTTAGAAGAGACAAAAAGCTGTAACAAGAGAGATCACAATAAAAAGAGTCTTAAAAAATCCTCATAAAATGCTGTTTACTCTCGGTTGTTGTCTGGTTCTTTATTTTGATAATGTTTCTTTGCAGTTATTAGAGAGATTAAGATTCACGTTTAAGCCAAACGGCAAACGTGAATTCGTACTAAGTGACCAAGTTTTCCCCTCAATTGTAGTTTATTGTTTACTTCCTACACACAAAAATAAGTAGTTTCGCGCCTGTATTGTCCATAAGAATTGTTCTTGACAGTTTTTACTAGCTTATCTTCTATTCTTAGAAATTCTCAACTTGAATCTGACGTTTGCCGTTTGTCGTAAACGTGACTCTTAATCTCTATACGAATGCAAGAGCGCATGCGGCCAAGAGAGATGAACAGACCAAAAACAACGGATTAAAAGGGCGGGAGATGTTTGAGATGCTTGTATTAGTGGTACCTTCTGATAAGAAGGCCGGATTTATATTTGGTTTTTATCAATGAACACATTTTCCCTAAACTCGTCCGAGGGCCGTTATTTCTGAGCACCACTTTTTCCCACGGTCACTCTTGATCGTTTACCATCAAACATTCACTTTATTCAACAGATAAAACATTCGAAGAGAAACGGCTCTGACATCTGTATTTTCGCTTTTTCCTATCGGCTTACACCTTTATTATATGCGAAACAAACCTATAACGTGTAATGGTCCGTCTCTTTCATTGAGCGTGAGCGGAGAAAAGTCCGGTTGAATATAAGGGGTTTCGAAAAAAGAAAGCTGAAAACTAAAAACATATTTTTTGGTTCCCTGTGATACAAACCAGCCGCGGGTCAAGATCTTTCACCTCTGGCAGTTTTCTACCTTGTGCGAAAAACGTCAGTTAATTGGAAAACATTTTGTAGTGTTGTTGCGTAAAACAGCTGTATAAAAGTTATTTTGGTCGAGGCTAACAGTGATTTGTCCTTTTGATTCGCTGTGCTGCGAAACACGTCAATTAATTGGTAGAAATTAGGGGTAATCCATTTCATCCGATACCTGACTCAAACAGCTGCCTGGAATGTACTCTCTAACCGAAGTTCTAGATCCAGTTATTTTTATAGGTAAGATCAGCGGAACCTTAGACATGAGAGGGTCAATACATCAAGTTCATTCAATTTCGTTCTTACCGGTTTATGCTGTTCCTCAAAGCTAAAATATGAGCCTGATTATTATCACGAATAAATAAAGACCTAATTTCAGTTGCTTTAAGTTGATCCTCGATATAGCGAACCTCGTCTATAACGAAGTCCTCAGTATAACGGAAGATTTTCTTTACCCCAGTAATTTTGAAACATGTGAAAAAGAACTTCGATATAACGAAACCTCGATAAAGCGAACAAACTTTTGCCACTCCCTTGGCCCTTCGTTCTGTCGAGGTCGGGTTGCACTGTAGTGCGAAATCATGAATAGCTAATCATTGATCAGCCATCATAATAAATAGATTTTTTTCATCTTATTAAATGCTACAAGGATGCCTTTCTTCACTGTATTGATCGCGCTCCGGTTGAAGTCTGATTTCTTCACTTTAGATGGTATCGTTTGCATTAGGACTCCTACATTAAGTGAAAAGATCGTGCTTTATTTGCTGTACCCACAATTCGTCATCCGGATGACAACCTCGTTTCCAGGATTCTTGGGAACGAGGTTGAACAGTGAACAACAAAAGCGATTTTAGGTGTGTGCATTGCCCTTGTTTCCATAAGCAGTTATCATAAGCAAACACACAACACAAGCCTTTTATTACTCTGGATTTTTCACTATGATGCGAACCCAGGACAATAACCATTAATAATGACTGCTATAATTACTTCAAAGAGACAACGACAGTTGTGAAAACATCATCTTAATTAAGAATTTCGCAGGACTTAAATCGGATGGTATATAAAGACAGGCAGATGAAGTAGCAAGATATCTTATTGTAAGTATCTCACTCCACTTTGGTTTGCAGGGTCGCCGAATTCTTTCGTTTCAAAGCCGACTTGACATTATGAAGACGTTTGTTGTTATTAGTGTCTGTATAACGCTTACTTTGGTACGTAAAAGATATAATTTTTTGTCAGTCTTAACACGGGTTCTTAATCATACCATACACACCCGATACACTATTCATAATTTCGTCAATTTTCTTCTTCCAGGCATGCTCTGACCTTCCCAAGCTTGCAAATTGTGGCGAATCGGTAGGTAAAGTGATCTTAAAACGCCGCGTAATTCTTAAACCATTATTTCCGATATTTTGTAGCCATGGAAATCTAAAGGAAAGGATTTTATACGGAATAGAGTCATTCAAGCAACTTTAAACTGAGTTTCAAATCGATAAGAATCAGTAGGCAGCATTTCACTAAGAAAACAGCTTTAAACATTTTTTAGTAACGTTAAAACAATAACGAACAAAAACAAAAAAACAACAATACATAGTTAACATTAAAAATTGAAACAAACTGGCGACAGAGTATCATGAGAAGTGTTGAGGAATCATGTACTCAGTACTTTGGTATTCATGCGAAATTAGGGAGTTTTTAAACACATGCAATGAATTAACCTCATAACTAGAATGTCAAAAGTACCAGGTGTAAAACTAGATTGCGAGATTGTGAACATTGAATTTGAACGAACGGAAACATTTTCAATTTTGTAAAAGGAGTTCTGTCCTACTTTGCTAACATATTTTTGGCGTTGCAATTTTAAGGAGGGGGTCTGTAACTGTCAAGCTGGACTAGTGTGTACGGTAACCAAACAAATACTAAAGATGGGAGAAGTGATGCTGGTAAGGCAATGCATGCCAGAAGGAGAGAAGATCGAGGTGGAGACTTTAGATCTTGAGGAGGAAGAAGACGCGCCCATGAGAAACAAACGCTGGCTTTGGTTCAATGTAAGAAAACTCAACATGAGTCTTGTCTTAATTTTCTACAAAATTAGAATTGATAGTTTATTGGAACTGGGTCTGGAAGGGTATTTCAGGGATCCGGGACTTGACTAAATACGTTGCGGGATTCGGGAAACATTAAAGGAATACCGGATTCGACCGCCACCTGGAAAAATGGATTCGTCAAAATGTGGACACGGGATGTG